GCAGACAAGCTGTACACGCACTGCCGACGGGCCTTGAATCTATCTGACTGGCGTCTCAGACCTTCCCGGTTCGGGACCGCGGAGGTGGAGTTTCGCCGGGAGATGGCGACGGTGGCGCCACCTGTTTCGGCGCCGCTGTTTGGGGTAGTTGATCGGCCCGCCGTGTCTGGCGTATTTGATCGGCCCGTAACGTGGAATGGTGCCGTGGTGGGGTAATGTGTGGATCTTGAGCCGAATCTGAGGGCACAGCAAGTCGCTGTTTGACCCCGATCGGTGGCTGGGTGACCGTGAGCTTTTCTGAGGGTGCTATCACAAGCTGCGCTGGCTGATTTGTTGGGAGGAAAATCGAGATGGGACAACCGCAATACTGACTGGCATGGGATTTGCCGAAGATGAAGTGACACCCATTAGAAATCCTACAGCGTTTTCGTGGACACTGGTTAAATTATGTGTCACTGATTGGTGGCGAGCACAAATTAATGTTGGAGCAATAAATCTACGAATTGCTACATAGTTCTTGTTATAGGGGAGAGAGGTCATATTGCGCCACGTTAAGGATATCGGCCTATTGCGGCTAAAGTTGACCAGCTGTCATGCTTGATGATATCTCAAATTGTACCTCAGTTATTTTGGCATCAAATTACAACTCCTAATTTGTATCACACCCATAAAAATTAACAAGAGAAAAGTTTTCCGACACACCTGCAAAGGGCGCATTTACGGACTACCCCATCAAAAAGCGCCCATGCCTCTCATGTAAAAGCGCCCTATTAAAAACAACGGTTTGATACCTAACTAAGTAGCCTATTTGAACGTGTCAGCCCATTAACCATTTATGCTGTGAAGACTAAGGTAATGGTAAGGTGAGCGCTCTAATAATCAAAGTGTTCAATGAAATGTGTCCCAACCACCAGATGCTGTTTCTCTGGGTTGAAGAATAGGGCGCAAATAGGGTGGGCGCAATTACGAATGGAACACATTTTTCATGAGCTTCAAATATGGCGAGGACAGCGAAGCCACGGTGGTGATAAACTTTCAAAACTACTATTAAACGAGCAATTAACAATGATTATCAGTTGAATCACTATCTCTAAGATAAACCATGACACTAGCAAAGGTCGAAATAGACTGTTTCGCGTAAGAAAATAGAGGAAATCACAAAAATTGGTCTGCGAGAAAGCTGAGACACCTCACCTGCCCCCGTGGACCGGAATAAGAGCGAGTTATTGGTGGTGAAGTAAATGCACACATTCGAGCCTTCATTCGAATCGAATTTTGGACAGGAGGAAGGTGTGGCGCATTTAAGAACATGGCGCAATATGACCTCTCTCCCCTACATCCATATGGACGCCCCACCTGCAGCTCAGTTGGGCAAACTACGGGGAGGTAATCAAGAACTTGATTAATCAAGTTCATGATTATGACGTCACGAAAACGGGGCGTGGCATGACCATATAAGGAGTTGTAATCAAGATTTTGATTACTTTTCGTGCACCGAACTATTCAAGTGTTTCGTTTCGATTGTTATAATGTCCATTTCGACACGATTTTTTACCAGGTGAAACGCAATATTCTATTCTCCCGAAATGATATGGACCGGTAGCAGTGGGATATGGACTTTAGCTCATATGGCGAAAGATAAACTGCTAGCCTAACTTTTTCAGAAAAGTGATATTTTTTAAAGCCCTTTTTAGGCGGATATTATTCTTTTATCCACATTTTTACGTTTCCAATTTAAAAATAAATAATTGAACATTCATTTTACACACGTCTTAAATTGGTCGTAATAAACATTTCTTCCAAAAGGCGCCGTCGCCTGTTAGCACGCCGCCATTTGTCGTGTTGTCTGTGTGTGGGTGAGGGTGGAAATTAGCGCCGAATTATTGGTAATTTGGTTCTTATAGGTAAAATTAGCATTTTTTAAAATAATTTAGATCATGTTTGTATATTTGAATAGCCTCAACGTTCATGTGCGTCGGTATAAATGTTGAAATATCGCGATAGAATTTATGATGATTTTGTAGGCTATCATGGCGCATGCTTTCCGCGGTATAATATTTTAATTATTTACAAAATGTATTGCTATTTACAAGGTTATAGTTGATCTTAAAGTAAATAATAGGCATAGTTTGTTGTTTGGGGCAATTGTTGATTAGGGAGGCACATTGAACTGCCCACAGTAGCTAGAAATGTTGTGGCCTGGCAGGTTGTGCAAAAGTTTGTAGTGTGGCCATATCATTTATTCTTGTCAATTATCTGTGCAAGCAGGGACCAATAGGATATATCTTTTAGTTTTTAATAAAAAGTTAAACTTCGGCTTATGCTAGGTTATTCATACTTGCATTCTAAGTGGCTTTGTCATGGATTCATAGAACAATAATAGAAGTGGTGACTGCAAATGTGTCTGTTTTTCCACAGCTCATCAAAGCACCACCTCCTCGCTGTAGCGGTGGGCGTCACGTCACCACAGTATTGTTCAGGAAGCTTGTGATAATGGTACCTACGGTCCTACCTTGAGGAATTTTCAATCAAAAAATGATATGATTAACTTCTTTGGAATTGAGCGGACTAACTACAGCTACATTTGTATTATGTGCAGCGCTCATGCAAGACAGCAGGCCAGGATGCAGGGACACACAGCTGCAGGTATGTATAAATTGCTTTTGCAATAGATGGTTGTAGTGTTTTGTTTTGTCGCTGGTGCGTCACATTCAGTTTGGTGTGTCACGTTGAGTTTGGTGCGTCACGTTCAGACACTACAATGATCCAGTCCAGTGTACATGTTGCACACTCGAGCTGGGCATGCTGAAAATAATTCGCTGGAGCTCCTTCAGTGTGATCACATGAAGTTGCCTGGCACAACTTTGCGAGCTCACATGACTCATCCCCAGTTTTGTCCTGACACAGCCCAATCTAATCCTTTTTCAAGATACAGGCATTGTCTATTCTAATGTTTTCAAAACAATTCATTCTAATCTAAATGCAGAAACTTCTTTACTGATACATGTGTAATTTGTATCTACATTTTCCAGACTGCTGAGTCTGAGGCATTATACATTATTTTCACATCATGTGCCGAAATGTAGTATCAGTGCCCTGCGCCAACACATCAGGTCCATGTCTTGTCTTGTTTGTCTTGTTACATCTGTCTACCTCTCCTCCATCATTTCTTCCTTCCATCTTTCCTTGCTTCCTTCCTCACTCCCTCCTTCCCCTCCCCCCTCCCCTCCCCTCCTCTCCTCTCCTCTCCTCTCTCTCCTCTCTCTCTCTCTCCCTCCTTTACTCTTTCCCTCCTTCTCTCCTTTATTCTTTCCCTCCTTCTCTCCTATTCTTTCTCCTCCATTTTCTCCCACGCAATGTTAAGTGTACCTATAATTTGGTTATGAACATTTTGCAGGGGATCAGCTGGAGAACCTGCAGCGCATTCTCCAAGAGACGACGGAAGCCAACGGAGGCCCGCAAAACTTTCCATCCCATAATCGTGAATGGAGAGCTGGGCGGGGAAGACGCGGTATTCGTCGAGGCCCAGGAGGTGGTATCGGCGCCACCAGACCAAGCATTCCTGCTGTGGCAGGCCGCCTTTTGGATTTTTAACATCAAAACTCCTAAAAACATGGTCAATCTGAATTGGTTTCTGAGAACCAAAGTGTTTGGTGGAGTGAAGGCCGATGTGCCGCCATCAGCGGCGGCCATCGCGACCGTGAAGCAAGTGGAGTGAGATCCCCGTAGAGCATGCCGCGGCGGGGTGTCGGAAGCGTTTGCCAATTCTTTGAGCCTTCCATCGGCGCGGACTATAAATACACATTTCAATATATATATTTGATCTGTGCTTGGTTACACGGGCTTAGGGTTGTAACGCTATTCGTCCAATATATGTGGTCGTATGCAGATTATCATTTGAGCTGACTTATGGTCAGGCCGCTTATCGCGGACAGCGGTGTTCTTGCTCGGGGTGGTCTTTTTCAGATCCGTGTTCGGCAATGTGAGCGAGCAAGCGCGAGAAGAGGTGTGCTCGTGCACAAGTCCACATGTGTGTGCCACATCCCTATTCCCTAACTTGTCTAAAGCTTACAGCTATTAAGTCTCTAGCCACCCACCAAAACTGAAAAACAATCGGTGACGCCGTTCCGGAGATACAGAAATGATGTGCGCGTGTGCAAACATATCCTATCCCCGATTTGTCCAAAACTTATAGCTAATAGGCTTCTAGCCACACAAAAATTTGAACAGGCTCGGTCAAGTCATTCATGAGAAACATTAACTGCAACATAAATTCCATCCCACCAAAACTGATTGATTTTGTCAATAATATACACCATTATCATTGTATCTTTTAATTAGTTGCATTGTTCAACGCTCGCCAGTAGCACGATCAGCGCGATCAAAATCGTGATTAGCCAGCTGAATGCGAAATCAAGATCATGATTAGCCAGCTGGCTGCATAATCAAGAAGTTGATCATCGGACTCCCGGGACGACGCCTCGTAATCAAGTTGTTGATTACGTTTTGGTTGCAATCTACCGCCTCACGATTTTCAACTTGAATCATTCAAACATTACACTTGTAGAGTGACTTCTTCTCTATCGGTCTTACAATTTTCGTGCATCTCCGTAGACCCTGAATCGAGATTCAGCCGTTTTCGTGACGGACTGCAGACATGACCAAATATGGGCATAAAATAATCATGAACTTGATTAATCAAGTTCTTGATTACCTCCCCGTAGTTTGCCCAACTGAGCTCCTGCATCGTTGGCCTGTGTAACTGAGTAAAAAATTACACGTGGAAATGGAACTGTTGCCGTGTGGTGGACCAGGATGACCACAGAATGGTAGTTTCCAATGAAAGAAAATCCTGCAAAAGCACCAACTACTGATTGCAGCCGTTCCTCACGCATTGGCCCTTCTTCACTCAACTTGAACTATAGCTTTCACAGTTACTCGCTAGGTGTCACTACATAATTGTTTATTTCCTATCAGCTGCGGCCCGCGCCAAGATGCCCGCGCCACGCTGCTGATGTGTGCAAGGCGTGCCTGCGCTGCAGCGCTCTGCAAATTGCAAGTGCTGCAAGTGAGGGCGGCGCTGGTCGACGCCGGTGGTCGGGGCTGGAAGACCAGACGTTCTGGACGCAGAAACTCACTTTTCTTCAAGCCTGCATAACGGTGAGACTAGATATTAGTAGAGGCTGGGTGTATTTATCAAATATCAATGTCAGTGTGGTAAATGCATATGTTAGTTGACAATTTCATTTTGATTTGCATGGAATGGAGTGCAGATTTAGATTGAGATGGATCTCATGTCAATGCCATGTTGATTTTGACTACTTGCTACTTGCAGTTGTATTTGACAAGTGATAAACCATTGCAAAATTGTAGGGATACAATGGTTTCATAGTTCTGGAATTTGGTATTTTCTGTTAAGTTTTTGGTGTCATGTGATGACCTTTGATTGCTCATAAAAGGTTCTATATAACCAGATATTGATATGAAGGATGTCATTAAGTTCAGCCCTGTTTTCCTTTAGATAAGCTACATTTCAATTTATTGTAATAAAAGGAATCAACATCAGATGCTAATTGAGAGCCATTGTCAACACAATAACAACAAGACCAATTATCTTCACCCTAAAGCGTATTGATGTCCAAGCATTACTGACATAATCTTACATGACAGTCAAGCCCCAATTTTAATGGTTTTGCTTAATTTCTTCTAATTCTGACTCATTCAAACCCTTACACTGTGATATGATGAGGAGCTTTGCACTAGACAGATATGTAAATATCTGTTTTTATGTTCAATTTAGCAGATATAACCCCAAATAATACTGTATTGCAACTTACACTCATGAGCCTTTTCAGTGAAACCCAAGGTATCACTTTCCTCAGATTTCAGAACTTATCTTTCATCAATCGAATGATTATTTGAACCAGCCTATCTTGTGCTGGTTTTACCTTTCTTAGACAACTTCTCTGGATTTCCACCTTCCCAGGGTCAGCGGGGCACTGGCACGCTCCACTCCTGATCTCAAGGAGTTGCCAGTGCACTCCCTGGATTGGACACCAGGCCAGTGACTACTGCTGAAGCATCATCACCAGCAACATCAGCATCATCATCAGCAGCAGCAGTGATGTACAGCAGTCTGCAGCAGTCTGACGGGCCGACCGGCGCCGCGCCGACGCCCGTCCGTCGCCGGCGACAGCGCTACGGCCGTCGTCTCTTCTCGCCAGTGTGGCCAAATTGGTGATGTTGCGGGGAAAGTCACCCCCAATGAAAAGTATAATGACATCCTCAGAAATTTTAAAATTACATCATCACAACGTTTTTGTTGTGAAAGCATACCTAGTGAAGGAATAAAGACTAAAAATGTTCCAATGTACGATTCACACCGTCATACTCGTACTGTCGCGCTTGCAATGTTTTTTTCATCATTGATGACAATATTTGATTTTTTTTTTTACTTTTCACCAGAGTTTGACGTCAGGTATAGTTTTTCCACATAACTTGTAAAAACTGTACCTAAAATGACACTGAAGACGAGTTTTTTGAAAATAGTGACATCCTCATCCAACTTTTTTATACATCCTCCCCCTAACGCTAAACCAATTTGGCCACACTGCTTCTCGCTGTCACTCTCCTCAGGTGGGTTCATGGGGGAGCTGAATGCCAGCTCAGCTCAGTTTCATGGGGCACACAAAATGCGCAGCTGGGGCATCGACGAACGCTGTTACATCACTATTCAACGCTTAGTTTAAACGCTAAGCCGTGTAACGTTTCGTTATCGAATCGTTCCTAGTCTCAGAACCCAGCCAGCATTGGTGGAAACAGGCGGCGTTTGAGCAAATTATCCGCTGCCGTGTTATCCGCTGCCGTGTTCCGCCCGGCCGGCTGCGGCAGGCCGCTCAAAACAGAAGCCATATCCGTCACTGTCGGGCAACATGTGAAGCTGTCCGGTACACAGCGGTGTCGCTACGCTGTCGGTGTGAGTTGAGCCGACGGACGACCGATCACCGGGGCTACAGCGTTGCTAGCATCGTTGCATCATCACGTAGATACCACGAGAGTATCATTGCTCTGTGGTGTCAGCGGTATCATTCCCCAATGACCTTTCCCGGAGTTGGTATATTGACCGAATCCCGTCACCAAAAGGTCTGTCTTTTATTTGAGGAAATCGATGGGGCTGCTGTTTTGTGTTTACCCTCATCTATGGGTGGTACCAATACCACCACGACCGCCTCATCACCCGGGTGATGTCAGCATAGCGTGGCCCCGGGGCCCGGCGCCAGTGCCAGCTCCAGCCACAGTACAGGTATATCGGTACGGCGGCCGTTTGATCGATACCGAAACGAACCCAGCTCGCCAGCTGCGATGTCGCCGGCCCGGCCAGGCTGTTGATTCGTTCCGCGGACGATGTTTGTGAGGGTCGCTCGGAAAACGATTTTTATGTGATTGATTGCCGTAGGCGACTGATAAATGAACATCACCACCATTTCAGATTACGTTTTGTGTGGTCTGATTTATGAGTAAAGCGCTATTGTTATCGAATAATTCATTCATGATCCAACTTTTTCTACCTTGGCTGATGCAGCGAGATATCCCACGGCATTTTGTTGGCACTGAAATGTTCACAGGCTAAATGTATTGCCTAGTAGATTAAATTCCCCCCAACACTTTTTGCGAAGCACCTTTGAAATGCAAACTTTTTTTTTGTTTCTTAATGATAATCCCGCAAACGTGAACTGAACAAGAGCATCCTGCTTTGCTATGAAACGCATTTCTTTTATCATTTTACACCGTAAGCCCTTCGGACCTTTATTGATTTCATTACTATTTCCTCCGTCCATGACTCTGTTATCGACCGCCGTCCGGAATCCATTTATTTCGCCATGTCCGAGCTAGTGTGGGGGCGGGCCGCGCTCGTCCGATCGCGTAGGTGCGCCCGCCAGACCCCCAAGAAGGCCAGCACTCTCGGCGATTGGTGATTGAGCAATCATTCGGCCGGGCGCCGGTGACAGGCGCCCCAATTCCGCGGCTGGCCCGGCCCGTCGGTCGGTGGTGCGGGCGGAGAGCGGTGCTGTGGGGGATTGCGGGGAATAGGCGTCCGTGATGATCCGTGGGAGGCTGTGGGAATATGTGGGGAGGCTGTGGGGTTCCTCACCACTTGCTGGCGATGATGCCCACTGGAATATCTGGAAGGAAAGGTTCTGTGAGGGCCTTAGTGAGGCTGGAAGCGATGGTTCTGTGGGGAGCTTTGTTAGACTGCGGGGAGCGTTGTCTGTGGAGATATGTGTGAGGAACGGGTGGCGTGAAAAGAGACAGGTTAAAGGTCTGATGGGACGTAGACGTTTGCAGGGATGTCACGGCGACTAATGAGGTACCCATGCGTCGGTATTGATTTAGGGGCTGTGGGGCTGCTGCCTTTTTTGATTTTTATTCTTAGCGGCCGGTATGTGGCGGCGGTAGAAGTGCCAACATTATTATTCCTGCCATTTAGGTGCAACACTGGAATATTTTTTTTTTCACTTAAAGCCAGAGTTTAAAAGGTCAATCACAGAACAGCTGATATTTTTGAAAATAAAATTGGGATGAATTAAGAATTAGAAGTAAGATAGAGCTCCAGCTCTCAGTGATCAGTCTGCTGTCGACAGCAGTGGCGATCTTTTTTTCTGTCTTCATACCACCTCTATCAGCGTCGTGCCTCTCTGCCCACCGCTGGGCACCGCCCCGGACTCCGGACACCCTCGGACCCTCACCGCGGGACACTGTTGCCAGGCACTCCTCGGCGGCCGGGACGCGGAGCGACGGAGACATACTGCTGACCGAGCCTTATCGTCGAGACGGTACGGTGGCATGGCCGCGGCGGAGGGGGGGGGGGGGAGAGGGGGTTTGGTGAGACGGACACGCTGCGTGGCTGATGGTTTGGGAGCCGATGGTGGAGGTTGCGGGTGTTGGTGTTGAAAGGTTTGTGGATGATTTTATTTGTTTGGGTTGCTGGGTTTGTTTGCTGGTCTACGCCCTTTCGGTCTATTGAGACCATTTCAGAACCCTTTGATGAGAGAATAAGGGGAGACATTGGGTTGAATCGACCATAGACCGGGTCGCTGAGGCGGCTATGCCCGTCCCGTTGAGATGGGAGTGCTCTGGTGATGCAGGTGACCAAGCCGCTCAAACTGTTACCCCGGAGGGTGTAAGGAGCATGCTTCCGTTTGGGCTGCCCTCCACATTGCCTGATGGCGTGGCCGTCAGCCCGTAACATGAAGGTGTGGAAGCCAAGGTCCACGAATGATTATAGGTGGGTCCTGAGAAAAGAGAGAATGGATGTTAGGGGGTGAGCGGTGGTGGTGGGTGCTGCTGTGTTTCGGCATGTTAGTTTGGGTTTCCCTTGATGTGGTTTGGGTATAGTTGTTGGTCTCTTCTTAGTGAGCGTAATGGCCCAGGTGTGGCTGACGCTCACACAAATGAAAAGCGCTTCCAATGTATTTTTGTTTTTCACTTTGGGTTTTCACTTTTTTTACTTCTAAAGACCAGGGAGCTGAAAGCTTGTGCAGCCTTTTGACTAATTCTCTCGACGATTTTTCCGTTCTAGTTTTTTTTCGGTATCGTCTTTTTCTGCCACTTTTTATCAGATGATCGTCTGTTATCGTGTGATTAAGCGAGACAGTGCTGAATAATGTACTATCTTTTTTATTCAGTGCACAAAAAGTAGCTGATCTAATTGCAGAGATGAGCGTTATAGGCGCCTCCTGCCGTCTAATATTGATTTTCTTATGATAGCGACGACGACCACGGTGCAAGCTCTTCTGGGAGGAGACAGGAAGAAGTCGCATTATTTGAAAATCACGTCGGCTTTCAGCTTATTATTTCTTCAGTATAAAACCGGGCTTGACTTTTTTGGAGGGGGAGATGAAATATGATTGAAGCGGTTGGCGAAACTGACGGACAATGCAAGTCATAAACAATTGCAATTGCTTCCATACACGACAGCCATATGCAAGATTTAGTAAATATGGCAGCCTAATAAACGTGTGGTCTGTTTAGGACATTTTAACTGTTGTATTGATTTCTTATGACGTATCGGGAAAATGCGATTTTGGACTGACTTCAGACTTGTACTAAATAAGTAAACAGTTTTGAATTGCTGCCGATACCAACCTCGCGTACGAAGTTGACGAGCCCTGGTATAAATTGCCTCTCTCTCTGAGATCTTCGTCTTATCATCACTTATGTCACTACTCGCTATGCGGTGCCTTTATTTTCATAACTACAGCACGTAGGGAAAAACTGTTAACCCCGCTCCGTCAACAGATGGCTCTGCCAGTTACTGCCTGGCGTGGTATGCTGTACCGCCGGACACTAAGTACAGCGGCACAGTATACCACTGCAGGAATGACTGGCAGAGCCATCTCTTGGTAGGCCCGTGAAGTATTTCAGCGCAATGCTCCGCGCACGCTTTGGCGTACCGCCCGATTATGAACGTTGTCGAATATAACCCATTACCTCACATGCCGTGAATATGGCATCATCGGACCATGTTAAATGCCTTGCGTGCAAATTTCCGCCACGTTTGCGGTGGCTATGCCTTACTCAATAGACGGTTAATGACTAATAGAGACGCTATTCCTCATGTAAAATATTGTGCCTATTTAATGGATTTAAAGGCTCTGATGGCTTGACATTATTTCATTAAAAATAAACCCATCACGGAGAGGTGCCTGTGACCCAGTAACTCTGCAGCGGCGCTAGCTTTACCACATTCCGGTGACCACGCAGCATTATAACACCGGCCTCTGAAGCCGCCGAGGCGATCCGTCCCGTTGACCCAGTGCGGGCGGCGGGGCTCGGCGCGCGGTCGGGCGGCGGCCGATATTGATGCGCGCTCGGCCAGTGTTTCCGGACGGCCCGGGGGGCGGCACCGGGTCGACCGGCCGAGCAGTGTGCTGCCCCCGCCCGGAGCGGCCGCCCGCGCCGCCGCCGCCGCCGCCGCCGCCGCCGCCACCGCCACCGCCCGCTGGCCTGTCTCGGTATGGTGCGGCTCGGAGCTCCGGCAGGCGCCGCCTGATCGCTGCGAGATACTCGAGCCAGTGACGACAGGCGCCTTCAATCAGGTAAACAGACCGTCCCTGCGCTTCGGTGAACCGAGAATCGCAGGGCTTAGGTGGGCTCTAGGAGCTTTGCTTATTTTATCAAAGGCTGAGTTTAAGTAACATCTGAAGTGTACTGCGGTTTCCCGCGATGCGTGCATTTACTGAGTCTGGGTTTCGAGATGGCGTTTATTCGAGTTGTGTTCTGGGTTGTTGAATGATTGCTTGAGATCAAAGAGGCGCTAAAAATTGCGCAGTTCATTTGTCAATTCATCAAGCATGTCGCTCCCGCCGGAGTGATTGAATATTCAAACAGACCCTCGTTACACGATGCACTTCCTTTTGCTCGGATTGTATTTATTTTAGGCTTGCTGATAATATTACAACCGTGTTTGCTTATCTTATCTTCATTCTACCTTTCCTCAGCATGGCTATTTTTCATTTAATTTTACATATGTTTAACACATGTATGTATATTGTGTGTATGTACATATGCCCGATTATGCTACATAGTGTTTACTGCATTCCAAGAATAGTACCTACAAAGAGTCAAAAATGATT